TTGTTTAATACAAACTTGTAACGAATTTTGCATTTTTACAATTGCGATAAGAAATATTTTCGTTATTTACATTATTTACATCAATATGGAAAGACTATTTAATTAAATAATTGCATAGTTGCAATATGTATACGTATCAACATAAAATTTAATGATCATAAAAATTGAACCTCCAAAGTATCAAGGCACCAACCTGGTACCCATTTTCCGTTTACTATATTATCTGTTATTATGATTAGGTCAAAAATAATCGGTTTAAACTTTACAAAGTTGCTGAACCTAATAAACATTATCGAACAATGCCTCACAAGAAATGTAATTATTGCGAAGAAGACTTTGTAAAACCAGTTGACCAATTAAAAGGTCATTTATTAAAATGTAAAAAATTCCAAGAAATTAAAATCAGGATCCAAAACTTATTCAATGGGTTTACATAGTGGCAATATTGTAAACTTTGGACTTTCAATACAAACAAAATGCAAAACTAATATAGAATGAAGGGTTGTATTAGACGATAAGCGAATTTTGCATTTAAAAAAATAGCGATTGATAACTTTGATAACGATCAAATATATTAATTTTTTGTTATTTTTTACGTATTATCTAATAAATTCGAAATTATATGGCACCATTTTGTTTAAAACCAATTTCTCGGCTGAAACTATTTAATCAGAAGCAAACCGTTTTTCTTTTCGAAATAGTGGTTACATATACACTAGTATATAGTAGTATGTATATAATATATACAGTATTAACGTTAATATAAATTTATTTCACTATTATCATTTCCTTTTTAATTAAAAGGCTGTTTAAAATAGACAAACACAGCCATAAATAGTAGCAAATAATTAATCTTGTTATAGCAGATAAATGATCTTTTTTACTTTAATTATACGTATAAAGAAAAGCGTTAACACTTCGTAAGAACTAACTATAAAAGTTCAGGTAAAGTTTTTGTTTGTACTTATTTTTTAATAAAATTTTTATATTTTATGAATCGAATTCTCAAACTTATATTAACAAAAAATCTTCGAATGTAAATTTGTTTTATTAGCTATATTTTTATGAGTAGTATTAGAATATTCTTCTATTAATACTTCTAAAAATACTATTTATGTTTTTTAATTTGTCAATCAGAAATATTAGCCATTTTAAAATATATCAAGTCTTAAAGAAAATTTACAATCATAAAAGTTATTATATAAATAAGCTTACAAATCAAAATGAATAAGATTATGAACCGCTGATTTCGAAATAAATACATCACTAATTTAATTCAAAAATATGATCCTTAATTCTGAATCACCCCAATATTGATATTTCGATTGATGAATTTAATAATCTAATATAAAAAAGTTGTGTATTTTTTATTTATGGTTCTATATCATTTAATTCTGGGTTTGTGGGTTTTAATGGTTTTGATGATGACTAACTTGTGGTTCCACGATCGTATAAGTAGGTAGACAACATACTCTTTGCTAATAAGGGCATGTTCCTCTGGGAAAAATACTGAGAGATATTGCATTACTGTATAATAAGAATTTACACTAATACAATTCTTCGGAAACTTGGATTAGGTATCTTTTAAAAGTAAAGATATTATTTTTGTTGTTAATAAGAACTAATTAAATAAGCAAATTTTAGATGGCAAAAAATTTCAATGAAATATTTAACGCAATCCTTAGCAAAAGTTATTGACTCATCCTCATTAGTTTTCATAAATCTTTTTTTTATCATCATCACTTGGAGGAGAATTCAAAATAATTATTTCGATTTCCTCTAAATTCTCTTCAGAAACCTGGGGTTTTTCACAGGCGAAAATATCAAAAATTGATGCCAATATTCTTTTGGACATACTTTATTTAAGTCATAAATGGTAGGCATAAATGAAGATCCTAGAATATAACAAAAAAAAAAATAAAAGTTAATCGCCTATGTCTATAAATAATTTCATACCATCTTGTGATGCACTATAATGCGTTACATTGTCAACATTACATTCATCTCTTTAATGATACCTATCAAAAGCGAAAATGTTAACAAGATATTTGAGGGAACACGTTGTACTTGCCTGAAACTTTACCGAGCGCATGGATATTCGACAAAAAATATTAATATTCTTCTACGGAATACATCGTTCAGAAGTCTTAATAGAATCAGACCCTTTCCTTGTGTTGG